ATAAGATTGTTTTTTTTTAAACAAAGTAGTCTGACCTGGTAGAGAAGAAAACTGCAAGCTGTTAATGGCACTGCGGATATCTCCTGAGCTTCCTGAACACAGCATCTCCAACACTTTCTTATCTGGGATGACTGTCTTTGTGCAGCTCTACAAGAATTAATTGGAACATTTATAGTTAGAACAAACAATAATTTTACAAATATTAAACAAATGTAGTGACATTTTGGCCCAGAGCCAATGTCTCTGTCATTGGTGTGGAACCCCAGGGTTCACCTCCTGGGCAAGATCGAATCACGGTCAGGGCGGTTGGTACCTTCCCGTGGACTCACCACCCACGGGAAGGTTCAGGAGGGTTGGTACGGTGCAGTGTGATTTGAGTGGCAGTCATGGAGACTGCTGTCCCCGCAACCCAGTAATGGATAAAAAGACGAAAAGGGATGGATGGATAAACAAATGTAAGGGTGCTCTTTTACCTTCCCTGCCTCTTGGGTTGAAATGCGAGTCAGGACCTTCATCATGGTAGTTGGAGCCACTGGATTGAAACTACAAACACAACAAATAAAAAGAAAACACTTAAAACACAGAAATTAAGCAGAAATGTATTTTTTCACTTTTATGAATATAAAGTGAGTTCAAATAAAATGCAGGGTATAAAAATGTCCAAGCTGGGACTGGAAAATAAAATGTCACTTTATGCACTCATCTGGCTATTCTAAAGAAGAAAAAAATGTCTCTAGGGTCAGCAGAAGTTTGTGATGTCAAAATGGGGTCACAAGCCAAAAAACATTGGGAACCACTAGCATGTCTTGTGGAACCTGATGCATGTGATGTCCAACTCCTCTTGGATCTCTTTAGGGAATAGCAAACGTGAGCTTCTGTCTCCACTCAGACTGTCTGACACTATGAAGACCAAAGGACATCGACTCGTCCTCATAAAGAGCCTGAAAAATAACACAAATACATATTTCCAAAGACTCAGTATAATCAAAATTTCTAGAAAACTTGTTACACTTCCTTAAAATTGTACTGTTACTCTATATTTGTAATTCAAATGAAATATTTTGAGGGGCAAAATAAGTTCTTTTTTTCTCTCACCTCAGGTTATCATGCAAACTGCTGGACTGCCTGTAGAACTGGTTTGGCATATCCTGAGGAAATCCAAATACAACATATTCAAGTGAAATTGACAGAAAATGGTAGAAGAAAAAGGCAACAAATCAGATAAAAACCAAAATGTGTTGGTTTTTTGGCACCAGTGAAATCAACATGAATATCACTCCACATTAGAAGAAAGTATTCTATATGTTTATGTCAACAGTTGAAATTCATACTGTAAGGTTTTCCTCACCTTTTTACTATGCTATTAACATGACTATTAGAGATACCTTTGGTTTAAAACAAAAAAAGTTCCTTTATTTAAAAATATGGTACAACCTCCACCAGGATGAGCTTCTTGTCTGTAACTCCATCTTCACCCCTCATCCTCAGACAGCTGTATTTGTTGGCTCTGAGGAGAAAGTCCTGAAATTGAGCCTGTTGGGGTCTGGAGAACATGCTGTTTGTTTTCCATTCTGACAAAGATAACAGAAGAAGAATCCCTTTAGAACACCAGAGAGAAAAGACATGGGTAGATAAACACTGGACACAGCACTTACATAACAACAACCTTGTTTTTGTCATCATTAGGACAAAAATATATTCTAAAACATATGAAACTGAATAACATTTTTTACAACATCATACAACATAATTTGCATATGCAGTCATTTAATGTGGCAAAAGTTTCAAAATATGAGTGGGGACAGATGTGAGACAAGAGTCAGACCTTCCTGACTCCTCATGCTGAATGGCTCTGTGTTTGTAGGGTTGACCCACTCCTGAATCCGGAAGCCCAGTTCTTCAGACAAAACCCGGACAGTAGCAGTCTTCCCACAGCCTGATGGTCCAGTCAGCAGAAGGACACCACCCTGTAGATGACAAGCATCACTGATGAGATCAACGCACACTATGGTCAAAATAGAGTGCATCTCAGCTTCCAGGTCAAGAACTGGTTAGGGCTGGGGGACAAATGCTCATTAAATATACATAGTTGGCCTTCTCTGAGCAGCTATCCAAATCAGAAGTATATGATATAAAAAAAAAACACAAGAAAAGCAAACAAAAGAGTTCCTACTTTAATATACCAATAAAAAAAATTACCTTTGAAGAGCATGAGTGAGTATTCATCCAGTTTTCTACTTCCTCTATTTTTTTCTTATGGACGGCCAGCTCATCCTACACACATTGTAAGTGCACAAACACATAGAGACACACACTTTTGTGAACAAATTTGAAATCCTGATCCACCCAACTTAGGGTTTGCTTAAAATAAACATTGACAAAAACAAATATAAAGTACAGTATACATTACAGGGGCATACAATATATAAACACAAGGAACACCAGGAACAGGACTGTTTCATGTACAGTATTTTATAGTTTATAATATATAGTATATGTATTAGTGATGATGAGAGGTCATAATGTGTACTCTACAGCAGGCAAAACACAAGAGTAGTAATGAAATAATACATGGCAACATGTATGATTGTGTTTTCTAAAGTGAGGGGCAGGACCCTTTAGGTGGTGCAAATTTATTGTGGGGGGTGCACAGCAAGTCAAATTTATTTGCTTTTTAATAATTCTTTAATTGTGCTATTGTGGAAAATGTAATCAATTTGTAATTTAATTTTATTTTCCTTTAAGAATTTTTCTTTAGGAATGTGTTCTAAATAAGGTTCAGTTGATTTTTTAAGAAGTAGCTGTGAATGTGTCAAGAGTGGGGTAAAAAAAGAGGTTTATCTATAAAAGAGGGTGCTGAAAAAACAATCTAGGACTCACTGATGTAGAACATCAAGGGTTCCTATTATTTTCAAGCTTAAATGTTAATAAATAGTAATTATTTTTATTTTTTAGGATGCTGACCTGTGAACTGGGTGAGTATCTGTCCACCCAGGGCTCATCTAGGTCCCTCTGTACCACTTCATTCAGCAGTGATGATATGTGATAATCTTCTACCTTCCTCTTCCTTGCTTTCTTCAGCTCTGGCTTTTGGAACAACCCCTTTGTCTGTCCAGGGAGAGAACAGCTTTCCCCCACCAGATCGGAAAAAGAGGAGTTCACCCAGTCGTTCGCCTATGAAAAATACACTCTAAAGTCATTTACAGTAATAGTTTATGGTTTTTGTGGCATAGCTATTGGGTGTAATGACATAATTCAGATACATTTCTAAAAGCTTACTAACTTGTGTTAGTATACGTATTCTTGGTAACTTATTGAGTAATTACTGTATATTAATGCATAACATACTTCCTTTTATGTAAATGTTTTGTTCATTTCAAGTAATCAACAATAACCTGTACAAAATAACAAAAATCTTAAAATGGAACTTCTTCAGAGCATGTTAATATGAACATTAAAATTAACCGAAGAACTTACTCTGCTTGCAGCAGCTTTGCCTCTCACAGAAAGCTTGTTCATCCTTCACACTGTGGACAGGAAGTTAGTGAAGAGCCTGTAGCTCCAAAGCGGTAAGGACAGCTGCAGCCAGAATCGACACTATCAAAGGTTAATGCAACAAGACACAACATTAAATCTGCATCGTTTGTATGCAGATACAGCTAGAGGTGGCCCATTTGAAGAAGTAACAACGTTCAGAAACGCTTTGTTCATAAACTGTTGGAAAATAATTTATGTTTTTGTATACGCACGTACGTCAAACGTACACAACATTCATAAGCACGTTTGTGTCAAGTAATTGTTTAAAGTATTTTACACAGATTCTGTACTCGAAGATTCTTAGCTGCAGGGTATTGCAGTAAATAAAACACATATTTAAAACAAATATAATATGAAAGTTGTTGGTCAAATTACCTTTTTATATCATTTGTTTCGTCTTCACCACAGTGTTTGCGTCACGTAGAGTTACCCTTCAAGTACAACAACTAAAATGCGATATAAACAGTGGAAGAAGTTACGGTCACAAATATGTCTATTTAAACTGCGGGTGCCGTAAACTGTGTAGTCCATGCCGTAAAGTGACAGGGGGCGTCGCGGCACTGACTTGTGTATGCAGAAAGGAAGTGGTTGATAATACGCATCTGAACTTAGACAGAAAATTGTGAGCGCCTGGGTCTTTACTTCGCTCAAGGTTGGTCTACATACGTTAATATTAGTACCTAAAAACTGTTGTCCTAAGGGGTTACGTAAAAAAAATTAATAACATGGCGTAACATTTCTTTCAGGATATCTTCTTACATACACGTGTAGTCTGCCGCTGGTGAGGCATGAAGATGAAGAAGCTTCCTAACATTCTGTTAACAGGTGACAAGGCTTTAAAACAACAGTCTTTTAGCGAAGACAGCCCTGTTAGCTGTCTTAGAATAACGATCACTAACGAACAGTGTCGTGTAGTTTATAGTAGGATTTAAAATTGTATCATGCTGTTTTGAACTAGCAGTCCATTGTGCTTTGCTGTTGTATGGATATGGTTGACTGACATCCCTGCCTTTATATTCCATCGTCTGTCTATTAGTGACTTAAAAGTCACCAAATGTCCTTATCCATAGCTAAGCTTTAACTAGTCCAAGCACAAGTCAAAAATACGTTCTACAATATAAACTAAATTTTAGAATTGACAGATAAATGATTCAATTTGCATTTAAATATTTTTTTTCTGCTGTGTGCATTAATGCGAAAGCCCAGCTTGTTTGTTTAAACTCTTAAGATTTCCTTTATCTTTATTTTGTCTATAGGGACACCTGGTGTTGGAAAGACTACTCTAGGAAAGGAGCTGGCTCAGCGAACAGGCCTGACGTATATTAACATTGGAGACTTGGCCAAGGAAGGTTGTAACTTTGAAATAATTTTTACAACTTAAAAATACATTCTCACATGCACTTCACTGTGATTTCTGGGGAATGCTAAATATTTTTCTCTCAATTTTTTTAATGGATTTATGGATTATGTTTTTGGTATTGTTCAGCTATGGAAACCAAATTAGGGTATGTTGATCAAATATAAAAATCTGTACATATTGTTTTTGTTTTACCCAGGAGAACTTTACGATGGCTATGACGAAGAGTACCAGTGCCCAATTTTGGATGAGGACCGGGTAAGTTAATAGTACACGTGTAATAATGAATACTAAAATGGACTAAAAACTAGTGAGTGTGCAGTTGTCATTGAGGTGTGTCCTTCCACGACACCAATCAGTTTATCTACTCACTAGACTGGAAGCATTAAGTTCAGTTTAAACAATTTCAACCCATAAGGGGCGATTAGTTACCACAGCTTTGTGACAAAAATAGCATATCTAAATCACATTATTCCCAACCAGGTAGTTTGTACTGGGAGCTTTCTGGGCCCAGTATTAATGCAACAAAACAAGTTATTTAAAAACTATATACAAGCAACAAATAAAGTGTCTTCCCAATAATATGAATATCAGAAATAGAAAAAAAATGTGATTTTACAGTTACTTTAAATTAATTTAAAACTTAAAAAACTAACATTCTTTTAAATGACAATTAAAAATAATTGAGAAGATGACAGTCTGACCAATTGAAGTCCAACTCTGTTTTGTATTAATATTTTGATTATATATATACGATTTACTCTCATCTGTGATACTGCAGGTGGTGGATGAGCTGGATGAAAAGATGGAAGAAGGAGGAATGATTGTGGATTATCACGGCTGTGACCTGTTTCCTGAACGATGGTTCCACATTGTCTTTGTCCTTCGCACTGACAACACTCAGTTGTACACACGGCTAGAGAGCAGGTCATCTTTGTTTCCTTTCTGTTTGCTTGTTGATATCCTAAAACATTTTCAAGAAGATACAAAGTTCACCTATTTTTGTCCAAAACAGAATGATACAGATTTAAAATATCAGAAATCACCAGCACCTAATTAAACCACTTCTGTTATTACTGAGCTCAGTATTTAAATGTTATTCTACCTTTTTCCACATAGGAGCTAGTATTAACGTGCTTTATTCATCACATCCTTTTGTTACAGAGGATACAATGGGAAGAAGCTGCAGGATAACGTTCAATGTGAGATCTTCCAGACCATCTATGAAGAAGCCATGGAAGCCTACAGTGAAGAAATTGTCCACCAGTTGCCTAGCAACACTCCTGAAGACCTAGAGCGCAACCTGGAACAGGTAGTGCAGTGGACTGAACAGTGGACGAAAGACCATAACTAGGAGCTGAAGCATCAGCCTTCTGTGCTCCAGTGGCAGCACTGCCAGCATTATTTGGACTTGTATGAATGTGGCCTCATTGTAATGGCAATGTCATCGAGTCTGGTGATATGTTCAGGATTTCATCACCACCTTTTTTTCAGTGCCACACTGTTCCGGAATTACATTAGGAAGAAGTTAATATTTGGAATTTGTACATAACACAGGTACAACAAGAAGTTTAAACACATCAACTTAAGTTGTTTTCAGGTTTTGATTTTTTTAATAAATGAACTTTGAAATAGGCACAGTTGTTCTGTCCATCTGTTAAATACAAAACAGTTTATTTATGGTCAGTACACTTTTGAAAATGTGTACTGACCATAAATAGTGGCAAGACGTTGCCTGGCTTCTGAATCTTCATAGTTTCTATGTCTGCTTGTTACAAGCCATTAAAACACTATTGTGGACACCAGATACTTAAGAAGTGGTCGTTATGCCTTGTTAGTTTAATCTTGTGTTTGGCTAGACTAATGCAATGCAAGATGTGTGAAGATAACTTTGCCCATGTTTTTCTAATGTGGTTTGGAATACAAATAAGAAATGTTATTTTTGTCTTTCAGTTTTTACCAGCTTTTCTTTGCTACACTACTGTTATCTTCATCTGTGTTATCATAATTTTAAGTGCAGCACAATCCTTTATAAGGTCTGTCAGCATGTAAGGAATCTATCTAAATTACTTCAATCTACTGTTTCTGTGACACCTCTGGGATATACTGTGTATATATATAAAAATATGACGGTCATAATTGCATCAGCAAAAATAATTTCAAAAAATCTTAAATGAAAAAAAGAATCAATGGTATAAACTTCACAGAGCGGATCGTTAACAACACCAAAATGAAAATTTGGAATTGCCCTGTAGATGGCACTAGTGAGTATTTGTGCTCGCTGCCACAAAAAAACCGACGAGAAAGTGCGGTGAACGTTAGATTAGTTAGTAGAAGAAGAAGAAGCAGGATATCACGGTGAGAATCAGTGTTTTTTATTGGTCGGCAGTTCAGTTTTTCTTACTCAGCCTGTGTGGTTGTCCCGACACAAATGGATAAGTGTGTGTAATACAATGGGTAAGTGTGATTTTTCTTTGCCTTCGTCGAATAAGTTTGCTGTGCGTTTTTATCCGCCATGACAGTCGCTGGCTCTCTAACAGGAAAATGTGTAGCCGGCGGCGAATTAAGAAATGCCACAGTGTCAAGTCCCAACTTCGGACACTGGTTATGATTTACTGTCATTTTACACAGACGTGGAATAAGAAGACTAGGTCACAATAAGCAATATGTGCTATAAAATACGTCCTTATTAAAATCTAAAAATGTTTTGATTGTTAAGTCAAAGTCGTTGAACTGCTCCGTTCACTGTGTTCCTGAAGTTCCAATACATCTGTGATTTGTTCGGTAATTGAAAATATTTGCAATGAAGACACAGGACGTTGATTCACTTGTTTGTAATTGCAAACACAGTCAACACAGGGAAATGACACGTACTGCACTTGCACTTACTAACGTGTCGTTGTCTACAGCAGTGGTTCTTAACCTTGTTGGAGTTACTGAACCCCACCAGTTTCATATGCGCATTCACCTAAACCTTCGGTGATGGCCAAGCAGGGGTCGGGTGTGTGTCTTATCCTCCGCCGAATCCCTGGGACTGACTCACCGGTTCGATCGAACACAGGTTAAGAACCACTGGTCAACAACATAGTTATTATACATATGTTAGGTAGGTATATTGTTGTAGGTATATATATTGTATAGTAACCTGTGAGAGAATAACGGCTAAAGAAAGTCAGTTTAGACAGTAGAAAGGGGCCCGCCAACGATCGAAACTTACAATGATATAAAAAATATTTTCTCAAGACTGGAATTAAAGGTTAAACTAAAATAGTCATTGGAGGTGTGCACAAAGTAGACTATAAATACCTGAGGTCTCCTTAGGACAGTCTGGAGATGGTTGACAAATCCTCTAAGCCAGGGGTGTCCACACTTTTTCGGCTTGTGAGCTACTTTTCAAATGACCAGGGTAAAGTGATCTGCCTACATTGAAAACTATAAATGTATATTCACTACTTTGATTAAATGGCTGTAGTTGTATGGCACAATACCGTCTGACTCAATACTTCTATGGTCCTAGTGATTAGCATCTTAAAATAGAATCAAATCTATCATTTTCATTTAGATCCTGATTTACTTATTGGGCATGCCTGCTCTAAGCACTTGATTTTGACCAATGTAACGGCCAACCTACAGGTTTTAACAGATGTGACACACCCACTGTTGTTTTACTTTGCTGTAAAACTTACTTTCCCTCTCATTAGGAGATAGGTGTGAATGGCTGTGACTCTAACCCAGACTGTGACTGTTCTATGTATGTGTATATATTTGTATGTGAACAGCACAGTGATGTGCGGTGAGGTTCATTGCCGGTGAGGCACGGACTGCTCCGGAGTCAGATTTACAATTGTAAGAACTGAAAAGAGCATCTTATTTCATTATTATCCAACAGCATGCACCTGGTAATGCTTCATATCCATCAGCATTCCTCTTTCAATGACACTTACACCAACACAAACATACAGTATACACAGGAACATATTTGTCCTACAAAGAACGTTTCTTTATACAAATGGATAGAGCACCCTTCTTACAAAGAAATTAATATTTACTGTAAACAAATTAAAGTATAGAGATGAGTGCAGCACAAATTTAATTTTGACCTTCAGTAAAAATGTCAGTTATTTTTCAAACTTTAAATTATTTTGCTTTAATCAAAGGTTGTCTATCAAAATGATAAGAACAAATATATATTTTAGGCCAAATATTTTGTTTTTAAATACTTGAATTTATTCTACTTACTTCCATCTTATTTTTAAAAAACAAAAACTTGAAACCATTTGTAGCCTTAACTTTCCTTATAGATTAAGTCCATAGTTTGAATTTCCAAAAGTTTTTAAAGAAATCTGGCTGAATGTACGTGGCTGATCTTTCATGTTTGCTGAGGCTTCTTTGCTATTTTTTGATGTGACAGTATCCCGAGTTAGTCCAGACATTATCAAACGATGAGAGTAAAAGGCAAGAACAGCAGTAAAGCCGGTTTTCTTACACACAGTCTTTTTGTACATTTAAAAAGAACGACTCTTCTGTCCCGTAGTTTGAAGCAAACCTTTTAGCTCCGGCATTGGTCTTTCATCACTTACCCATCACTTCGGACAAGCCGAAAGGAAAAGAATAAGAAGATGAGGTTGGTCTCCCATCACTTATCACCTTCTGTTTGGACTGAAAGTCCGGTTTTGAGAAATGTTTCCCTCTTGAAATACAATCCACAGACACAGACTGCAGAGAGTCATGCTGTATAACAAATAAAGTTCATATTGACGATATACTGAGGAACAAAAAAACGGGCACACGTCATGTGACCCAGTTTGTATTGGATTGCACAGTCAGTCATTTTACTCGTGCTGCCTTGCTTTCTATATGTTTAGTAATGCATTCATTCATATTTTTTTAAATAGATGCCTGCAGTTATGCCTCAGCCCAGAGTGATGCTGGTGGTAACAGGAGATGATTTTGGATACTGTCCCAGGAGGAACCAGGGGATTGTAGACTGTTTTCTGGCAGGAGGCATTTCCAATGTGTCACTTCTGGTTAATGCTACTGCTGCAAAAGAGGCAGCTGATCTGGCTAAACGGTAGCTAAAGCATTTTGTTTAAGATAAAAATCCTTATCTGATTGAAATGACATTCTTTTTTTTTCTCTCAGGCACAACATTCCTATTGGTCTCCATGCCAACCTCTCAGAAGGGATCCCAGTTTGTCAAAGTAAAAAGCAGGTCTCTACTTTGATTAACGAATGTGGTTTTTTCCATGGAAAAATTGGTTTCCGTCAGGCTCTGGAGCAAGGCCAGCTCAGCATGAAACAGGTTTGCTGCTCATTTTCCCCTGGAACAGGCTTACCTACTTTCTTTATATTTCTACAGATTGGCTGTAATTGAACACTTATTTACAGTCTTTGGTTTCTTCACGTTGATGGAGCAGATCTGACTTTTCTCATTGGATGTATTTATGAGATGTCTGCTGTCGTTTATCTGTCTGCTTTGTTGTTGCAAAAGTGTTGAGCAGAGAAGGCTTCTACAGTATGTGTCGTTAGCCAAAGAAAACTGACAGTTCTCTTGAAAATGAACAATGTTTAATGTTATTGTTCATTGTTGACACTTTTGCAGCAATTAACTGCTTAGGTTTCACTGTTTTCCTTCTCAGGTGGAGTTGGAGCTCGGGGCCCAGGTCAGACTTTTCAGGGAACTGACAGGTCACCTTCCATATCACATGGATGGACACCAGCATGTCCATGTCCTGCCAGGTAATTCAAATGGGCTCATCTTTTCGCAGAACAGCATTCCTATTGATTAGATTTTAATGAGGCATTTTAGGACCTGTGGCATCTTATGTCTTAAACACAGTTAATTAAAATAATTAATAGTTACTATGTCACCATTTGACTCATTTATGTATGTGTGTCTGTTGCAGAGGTGTGTGAGGTGTTTGCACAGGTGATGTCAGATTTCAGGATTCCATACACTCGTGTTCCAGTTGAGCCTGGGTTACACAGCTGTCTTTGGCTGCCACTGCACCTCAGACGATTCTACACACAGGTAGAAAAGAACGCTCTGGATGCCATCCCTGTCTTCATGCGCTACAACATCAGGTGTGTGTGTGTACTGCTAAGCGATTTTAAAAATGTCATATCTTGTAAACAATTTCAGTTACACTTGGATAATATTTTTGTTTTGGACATTTTCAAGCAACTAGTCCATTTATTTTTAAGCTGACTGACTTGTCAACTTTACTACATTTTTCATGTCATGGAAATAAAAACAAATTAATTTAGGTGTGGTACCACTACTAGCCAGAGGAAATGGAGTTGAACAGATATGACATACAGGCCACACAACCCTCAAATAACTGTCAAGACACTACTGTAGTGACAATACAGCTCCTGAGTCTGAAACAAATGTCAGCAGACAGTCTCCAGAGCAGAGAAAATATACTCTGCCTTGGTAAAGAAAGCAAAAGGCATATAATCCAAAGAACACAATCTTCCTCCACTGTAAGATGAAAATGGAACATGACTAATGTCACAGTGGACACAATAAACACAGGGTAGCTTTAGTGGCGAGAACATTCTAGAATCATGTTTATACCTATAACATGTCCATGTCCACAGATGGCCAGATGTATACCTGGGACTGACCACCATGGGTCAGAACATGTCTGTGCCACACCTGCAGAGGGCGCTTCACCACAGCTTGGCCGCAGGGCCCTCTAGCGCCTCTCTCTGCAGCAGTGCATCAGGCTCAGATGAGGCAGTGGTCACTGCAGAGCTCATGGTTCACCCTGGTTACTCCAGCCACCCTCAGGAAGGAGGCTGTGGGGAAGGTCCCGATGATTTCTCTCAGTCAGCTGACAGACAGCACGAGCTAAGCGTACTCACTGACCCGGCCCTGTTCAGCCTCTACAGTCAGGAGCGAGTGCAGCTCTGTGCCTTCAAAGATCTCCCACTGTTGTCCAGGAACAAATGACATGAATCCACATTATGCTACAGAGAGCCTGTGTAAATTCTAATTTCCCTGGTTCTGTTTCTGTGAGTTTAAAAAGGTGAATTCAGTCATATTGACAGTTTTAAAAATGAAATGAACTTAAAAACCATGTTAGTGCAGTTTGCCTTTTTAGCAGTACTAATATTTAAGAAGGGAATAGCTATGGGTCCGTTAATTCAGTTTTCATTTATTTGAACCCACATTTTCCTTGTTTTATTTATTGTCGCTGAAGTTGAGCCGGGTTATATAATCTGATACTATTTCCTCTCTATCCCAGAAGCCACCTGTACAGTTCCCACGCTGCCCAGTAATAGATGCCTTTAAAACAGTCGGAGGAGCCCTAAGCACCGACTGGAGTTCTGGAATCCTGTGTTTGAGAATTAAAATGAGACCGTATACATAAATGAAACACAACCGAGGTCACTCTAAAAAAGATGTTAACAATGTTTCCTAGCAACACCTGTCTTTCTCTAAAAATGTATATAAAGTGTATGTATACAGAAAAAATTGGAACTATATTATGTAAACAGGAAACATTTTGACACTCAAATAGATATAAAAGACTGACCTTTGTTAGAAAACCTGAGACAGATTTTGTTGAGCCAAATTTTGTCCTCTTTTTATGAAGGTAGAATAATTAACAAAAACATAACCAAGCAAAAGAAAATGCAATTTAACAAAAACTGTGCAATTTAACAGTATGTACAGATTACTGACAAGATTGCGTGTAAACACACTCCAAATGCTGAAGCTAAAGTCCTGAAAGTTTATATATTTAAGGAAAAAGGTTCTCAATGTGATATCAAAAAAAGTTGTTAAATGTTATTAGATGTTTGTTGAAAGGATGTTTTTAATTAAAGCCATACTAGGTGGTGTTGCACAGTATTCAGAGAATACATTGCACTACTCTAATGCCTTCATTGCACATTATTGGTGACACTTTTCAGTGTGAAGATATACCTAATCCTGTTGTGTTGAATGGGTTGTCAGAAGAATTAGCTCTCACCCTGGAGTGATAGGAGTATATGTTCAGGAGTGAACCATGTAGTCATTGTGAAATGTCTGTAGAAGTAGAGGGATTCTGGAGGAGGGGTCTCAGGTGTGTGTAGCAAATTCAGTCATCAGCTGCTAAAGATTATCTCACACAAACTCTAAACCTGTGAAATGCTTCATTATCTGAAATAGTTATAACAACAACACAATAACATTTATTGTTGAAGTTCAGCTTCTGTTCAAACTAATGTTAAAACTATACTGTAAACCAGTTATACTTGTCAGCAATGCAAACACATTTTTGTGGCGTAATAAACACCAGATTCAAGAATCATTTCTGTATTTTTTTTTTCATCTAACCCAAGTGTGACAATGAAACACTAAACCAAAAACAATGGAAATGGAAATAACTTGTATGATGATGCAAAGTAGTCTAGTTAGCTAGACTATAAATTGAAGTATCCAGATCCAATTTGTGCAACATCCACTGTGACAGTGAGGCCAACTGGTTAGCCATCTTTATTATGAAACAATATTTTGACCAGATCAAACAGCTGTTACATGTTTTTTCCAGCCACAGCAGTGCCTTCCCATATCTGAAAATAACCCTCTGGAACTTTAAGAAGCTTGTTTCTAGGGATGCCTTTAAAGAGCTGAGGACCAAAGTCAGCTGAGTGCATTCTCTTCCAGCTACTTCACTCTCTCTCCCTTGTTTTTTAGCTGGGCAGCTGACAATCACCTTGGTGGTAGAGTGCGAGGCTGTGTCTCACTCCAAGGCTTTTAGCCAATACAGCTACTCTGCAGTAGATTTCAAAATGTGTAATAGCAAGTGACTAGGCTAGAGCTAATTGTGTCGATGGACCGAAGCAGGTATATCCCAGACCCATCACCTCACATCCAAGATCTTTTTTGGTTGTTTCAGAAGGAGCAAACTGGTGACATTTAGATGACTTAAGAATGTTGTGACTAATGGTCAACCACAGGCTGTTGTGGTCCATCTTTATAGACAGTGTAGGCTGCAATGCATGAAGTGAGACACATCTCACAAGTCAGTGTGCTGAAAGGCTCTTGTTTTAATGATTCTGCTAAATAGGTGGAAAAGAAATGCTTCTTGAAAGATGCAAATTAACAAACTTTCTTCCATCAAATGAACATGTCAAGTGCCAATCAAAAACATTAAAACAGGTAAAAGAAAGTTAGAATTACACTTCAAAGAAAGTCACAGTAGCCATTTGATTTTGAAACAGCAGGATTAACTGGGTTACAAAGAACCTAAACAACCCATGTGAACAAATGTGTGGTACACTTTGACCATGTCCTGCCAAAATAAAAACAAAACTCCAACTCAAATCAACACGACAAAACCGTCGACTCCCTCTGGGTTGGTTGGGCTCTGTGTATTTGAGACTGTACTGAAAAGGGGAGTGAGGGAGGATTTGCTCCACAAAAATACAGTGCAAGTCTATAAGCAGAGGAACATGATTGGCAGTTTAAAAAAAAGACTCCTGGTCCCTGCTGCAGTTCTCTGTAGTCATGGATGATCAGTGACAGGGAAAAAAGATAAAAAGGAGATGTAATAAAATGAAATAAAAGACCTCAGGAAGATGCACTCCTATGTGATCTATTTAACACAAGAGTTGTTTTTAACAAAAGGAAAAGCCAACTGAACACAGGATACCGAGGGTTTCCATCTAACTCTTCAGGTGAGTGGTACTTTTTTTTAGCTTATCTTTTTTTTATTTTTCATCTATGTGAAAAGAGTAGAAAGTTTGAAATGGTCTGGGTGGTCATGTCTGAGGTGGAGAAGCAAAAGATGGTAGATGAGGAGAATGAAGGGTGGAGGAAGCTGTCTGATCCACAGATAGTCCTGGAAGGGGCAGGGCTTAGGCTGCCACTGACTGGCCTTCAGCTGGGCAGCTCCAGGGTTGCAGGTATGCGCGATCTAGTGGAGGTGGCAAGGAAGGTGGTGAGGTGTGTGGAGGATGGAGGCAAGAGTGGGATTGGTATTTGGTCAGGCAGGTGAGATGAAAGAATAGGGGGAGTGAAAGATGGGAGAGAGCGAGGGGGCTACACGCTCATCAAGTGATCAGTCCATTGGCCGTTTTTCACCATGTTTCCTCGTAAACTCTTCAGCGTTCTTCAAGAATTTTTTACGGTCCTTTGAGTATTCTTCTGCTAGATCTGCCCTCAGGGGGTGTTCTGGCTGTGGGTCATTCACCAGTGCAATGAGAGCCTGAATTACTAGAAGACATGGACAATGAGAGTACATTAACATATGAACACTGTTGTTCCTAAGTGTTTAATACAGCAAATGAGCATTTGCCTGCTACTCTCTCCTTTTAGCTCATTTTCTCTTCCCTCTCATCCTAACTCTTTTTTTCTTGCCTTATCCCCACACCTTTGCCCACTGGGGGTCACTGTGCTACACGTTTTGTTGCTAGTTTCAGTTGCATAACGTCAGTGAACAGAACTCTTCACATCACCCTTCCCTTCAAGAAGAGTGTAAGCTTGTAGTTTTTTCAATAATAAGCATTAGTCTCCGTCAGTCTCTCGCCATATATACATATATATATATATATATAGCAAGAGACTGACAGAGCCTATATATATATATATATATATATATATGTATATTTTTTTTATATACACATATACACACACACAGTATGTAAATATATATAGAAAAGATTTTACTCTCTTGCATAAATCTAAGTCGCAAGAGAAGAAAATGAGCCTTTTAGCTCACAGGGACACAAGAACAGCTGCTTCATTGCTGCCTTGGCTGGTAAGTATCTGAAAGTTCAAAACGAGGCCTTAAGAACACAGAAGTTTAAAAATGAAACATCTGAAGTCACAGCAAGAACACAATGACTTTGCACTATCACACAGAGAACATTTATGTACTAGAGTTCTGGAATTTGGTTTGATGCCCAGGGTGTGAGATTCAATGACGGCTAATGCCGAGTTCAGAGACTGCAAAAAACACATGACCCTCCACTGTCAAGTACCTTGGTCAGTTTTGGTGGCAGGCTTCCAGTTCTCAGCACTGATGACAGGCAAGCAAACCTGGCCCTTCTCATCGATGTTAGGATGATAGATCTTTGTCTTGAATGTGATCTTGGGAGGTTTAAAGGGATACTCGGTTGGAAAAATTATTTCAATCCTGAATGCACCTTTGTCATAAGGAGGGTTGTCCTGTAAATGAAAACATGATGGTTAGTGAAGGGGGGCAGGATTTCTGGGCTACACTATTATCAATCAATGGACAGCTACTCACTGGTACAATGAGACCTTGCCATGACAAAAGGTTTGATTCATCAACTTGGATGTTTCTGAAGTTCTTCATTCCAGATTTGCGAATCTCATCAAGTTCCTGAAAGAAAAGGGAATGAAATAAAGAACAAGTTTGCCTTGAAATTGCAACTGATTTATACCAAAATCAGTGAGTTGCAATTCAAGTTTTATTAAATTAAAATCATAAAATAAGACCAGTTCCATTTTATTTGGCCTTATTATAGATTTTAACAATATAAAATAAGATAATATTTACAAGAAGACAATGATCGCCTAGAAATAAAACTTTGGCAAAATACTACAAAAAAGGTATTCATAAAATCTTATTATTCGCTATTGTAAAGTGTATATGAAATTGATATATCCTTTGGCTTTACTTCATGTAGGGATGGTTGTCGCTCATTGGTTTATTCACTCTCTCCTTCAGACCACTGTCACTTTCACTCTCTCATAAGCAGACAATGACCCCTGTATCAGACCGGCCATTAGGTGCAAACCCGGAAAAACTAATATCCTGCTGCAGCAGAGGAACTCCACCATAGGAATGATAAATGTGTCATCATGAAAACTCAAGTTTCTCTGAAACCATTTAAAGCTAATATTCTGGAACAGTTAGACAGTGTTACTTTTTATATGAATAAAAAAGACTAGACTTCAAGTAAAATGCATTTGTAATATTTAGGGTTAGGCCTTTAATGTTACCGACATGCTATACCAAGCTGAAGCAGTCATTGAAATATCTGAATGTGTCCTTGAAATTCTGTGTCCTTATTTTAAAAAGGGCAACTGGTTTAAAGTGGTTCCCCTCCTTGAATCGCAACCTTAACGTGGTGGAGGGGTTTGAGTATCCGAATGAACCTGTTGTCGGGGGGCTTAACGCCCCTGGTAGGGTCTCCCAAGGCAAACAGCTCCTAGGCGACGGATCAGACAAATAGCCGTTCAAAACCCCAAGTTATACAATTGAAATATATTTTTTGATATATTTCAATATTGAATATATGAAATATTCATCAATATATGAAATATATTGATGAAGAAAACCAATCAATCAAAGAGGTTCACGTCGCCCGGATTGACGTCACCGGGGCCCCACCCTGGAGCCACGCCCGGGATTGGGGAG